CAGCAGGAAGCTGATAGTAATTGCCTAGGCAAAAGTCAAGAGCACTCAATAATTAAGCTGTCCCTGGAACTGCAGGAAAGACTGGAGATTGCTGGGGCTGTTGCTTACCTTCCCTTTGTGGTGATGGAGCCTGGCGTAAATAGTAGAGCTTAAAAAGGGAGGTGGGGAGGAGGGATGGGCATGACTCATGGCATCATTTTACATTTATCAAGTGTAGTTTTAGAAATGTTGTTCATCATTTCATAGAGATGACTAAGTAGGTAATGTATGTTTCTTAATCTTCTTGGCTAATAGAAAAAGAACCCCAAAGTCATCTCCTGTGGTAAGTTAAATCCAGTGTTCAAAATGTCCATACACTAATAGAGCAGGAAGTAGAAGTGTTACTCTAAATTAAAGAAATAAAAATAATAAGAAAATTATACACAGAGCTTTGGAGAAAACACATGTAAAATAAAGCTAAAAGGTACTAAGGAGCAGTGGTCACCTTGCTGTAATTTTTAAGCTTTCATGTGGATAGTGCAAAGCCTATTTCACAGTCTCTTTATTCATACAAAGTTCCACTTTTTCTAGTAAGCCAGCAGTCCGTGGTTTATGCTTACTTGTGGAAATCAAGCATTAGCTGTCAAAGGAGAGGTTGGCCCATAGAAACGTTACCTTGTATGCCACTTTCATAGTCCTATATGGACTTTGTACTGGAAGATGTGGAGGCTGAAACCAAACTGTATAGAAGGTGAACTCAAGAACAGGTGCTGGTGTGAAACTAAAAATAGAAATTAATGTAGGAGAGTTTAAGCAGTCCATTATAAATAGTGAAAACGAGATGCTTATGTGCCTCTGCAGGTTCTAGTTGTGCAGTCATGCAGTTACAGTTATAGGCTGGGAGAAGGTGATCTGTGATTTTTATTTATAGTGGTGCCCAGGAGGCCAGGCAGCCTTCAGTTTGTGATACAAATGTTGAGGAATGTTGGTATATGCAATACCCAAGAGGAAGAGAGTGGTGAGAGGGGAAATCTGAGAGAAGCTGGGCTGATGAGGCATGTACCTACTTAAATTAGTACACCGCCACTGGAGAGAGGGATGTAAGACTTCAAAAATAAGTGAGACTTCCCATTTGAGTTATAACACAACCCTCCAGGAAGGTATTTTAAGGAGCTGAGAGTTTTCTGAATTCTTACATGTAAGTGTCAATATATACCACAAAATGGGTTTTCAAAAATATTTTAGCTTCTGATGGATTATGGTGAGAACGAAGAGGAAATGGGCCACAGGGATATTTTTTCTGAAGTAGCATTATGTTATTGACCCATGTCTCCTCCCTCTCCTGCTTTCTTCCTCCCTTCCCCCTCCAACTCCAGGGAGGGAAGGCAAAATGAAGTTGTAGGTAATCTGTTACAGGTTTGATGCCTTCAGCTTTTCTCGCTAAAAACTCATCATTTTTTTACAGTATTTAGTTCTGGGCAGAAGGGTTATTACACTGTTCTGTGCTGCAGATTCCACTGCAGAAAATAACAAAGTGTGCATGTAGTAAGAGCTGTAAGATATACACAGAATTGGAGATTTTTGTTTTATAATCACCTGAAATAATAATTTCATGAAAAAAATCACATCTGTGTAAGACAGGGTCCGTATTCTGCAGACACTTTTAAATTGAAGTTCTGGTGAGTTGTTAGGCGGGTGGTCTTCCAGCCAGATTTCCTGCTCTGAGGATTTAATGTTGGAGTTCTGCAATACCTTTTATGAATCTTTAGAAGTAATGTGGTAATTCAGTCGTTATTGCTTTTTTGATCTGTGTAGAGTTGCCAGGAAGGGTGTCGTAGTGGTGGTTTTGTCATGTGTGTTCAGTTGCTTTAGTAAATGGAAGAAAGGCACAAATTGATTTTTTTTTGTGTGCTACACATTGTGGTTCGTTAATGAATGCTGAATAGAATTGGTATTAATTTACAGTGGAATCTTGCCAAGGTGTAATATGGTAGAAGCAGACTTTTAAAACTGGAAAACAATTGTATGATTTTAAGTTTGATTTCAATTTTTATAATAAAGTTAGAAGGGTATTTTATCTCTTAAAGAGTGTCAGCTGGGTAGATGTTAGTAATCCCATGAGGAATTTCTAACTAATCTTAAGAAAACAGCAGCTATACAGTTTAAGTTTTTAAATTAATAATAGTTTATCCTGTATTTTCATCAGAGGACAAACAAACTGCAAATACTATAATTTTGTAGGCTAGAAATTAGCTAGTAGTTCTTTGAAATAGAAAATATCTATGAATTTAGGGGTTTATTTTCTGCGAAAATCAGTTTACTGACAAATAAGAGCAAGAGTCTGAATTTTCTTTTGCCCTGGTAAAAAAATTAAGTATTGGAGTGGTTAAACTTTAGGTAATTGTATGCTCATAGTGCAGTATTATGAGTATCCTCCTTTCATTTTTCTTAAAAGGTTTTTTGAAGCATAGTTTCTCTTACAGGGAAAAGTGCTTTGAAAATTCGGTTGGTTGTATTCAAGGATTCTTAATCAATTTGTATCTTGTTTCAAAAACAAGTTTTCCTTGTTTCATTTTCTTCACATCTGCAGAGAACGGAGTTTAAGCCTGCTCAGACAGGAAACCAGCCACCAATATTTGCTTTTTTTAGGCACAAGGCTTTTCTGGGCTTCATAAACTGTTGATATTAAGCTGCAGCGGTGTCCCGGAAGTGCTGTGTATTTTGTTGAGGGACCACCTGGCACAATGTAGGGCAATACTGGTAAATGACAATTTTTATTTTCATTTAAATGAAGACAATGTGTGATGCCAAGTTCTGCCAGCTTGGAGGTATAGTTTAGAGAACAGCTTGCCCCTAGCTACACATGTGTTTAGAGTGAGATGTTGCTTCAGTGTAAAGTGATTGCAAGAGCCGGCATGTGAATTACTGATGAATGTTCATTATGATTATGACATTGTCTTAAGAGTGCTCAAGTGATTGTTTTTGCTGTTGCAACAGTTATAACTTTGTTACAGGACTTGCCTTGGATCTGTGATAGTTAAATTGTGAGGAACATACCAATAGAAGTTAGATTACCTTAGTAAATTTTGTTACTTTATTGAAGAACAAACCTATGCCTTTGAAGATTTAAACCATTGTGGCATATCTTAAATATGGAGACTCTTACCTTTTCGAGGTAAAAAGAAAAACAAATCAGTCAGGCGTTTAATGGAAGGGTTATACATATTTAATGACCTTGTAGCTATATAGGAAATGTCCTGCATCTCAAACAAAAGTGTGTTAAGTTTGTTATACAGAAAAGTGCATTTAACTTTAGAATTTAATAGCTTATATTAACAAAAACAAACCACTAACAGTTTTAATAGCCTGTCATCACTATGACATTGCGATCTCTTCAACTTTTTGCAAATGTTACTGAATTGCAGTTGTTAGATCTGGTCCCTGATGCCAAACTTAATGTATCAGACTTGAGTTTGCACCAGAGGATCAGTTTGATGTTGGGCACAAAAAAGGTTTGTTATTTTACAAATTGAGTTAAATGTCTTAAAACTGATTACTAGAAGTTCTTCTAGTATGGTATCAAAATCATGAGCATAGATTTTTTTTTTTTTAAGTTGTTTCTCAGAGTGGTTGAAGCAACATTTGACTAGTATTCTAATTAGTCATATAAAATGACGGCTGTAAATACATGCATATATCTACATGTTTGTAAATCCAATTTGCCAAAATAAATGTATGCTTATCTGTATATCTGATTCCCCAAAATAAACACTTTAAAATGTGCTTAACTGTATGTCATGTTTTACTGTGGTGTATCAATAGGTAGCTACATGTAGCTATCAGGTGTCTGACTCTGTGTGTGTGTGTGTATATATATTTAAATCAAAGGTAAACATTTTCAAGAAATATTAAAAAGAAACTTCTATATTACATAGTGAAGGCTGGAAGATGTTATGGAAAGTGTGAAGAGTTTCAGCCTCCTATGTCCCATGTTAATAATTTTGGATACATACTATTTCTGAGTTTTTAATGAAATGTAAAGACGACCAAGATGTTTCTTTCTTGCTCTGGGAAAGATTAGCATTAACCTGATTTTTATCATATTTAAATGTTGGTTTATTGCCATTTTTAGTTGAGTAGGCAAATTTATCTTTGGCTCTTACGGTAAAATGACTGTCCTGTAAAATAAAAGGAAGCAAAAAAAAAATTATGCAATAGCCTGCAGCAAGACAGAGCCACAGAAGGTGAAACAGGCAAAATGGGAATAGGTGGTCAGCAGTACAGATTTTTTTTGTTTTTAAAGCAAAACAAAAAAAAAGGCAAAAAAGAAAAAAACCCAAACCCCAAATAAAAAAGCCTACCACCCTCTGACTTAGTACCACGTGGATATTGCAGATTTCAGTTTTGGACTAGCAAGTGTGTTCATACCTCTGTTACTGCAGATACAACTTCATTTTGACTGTTTAATGTATAAGGATGAAAAGATGGCTGTTCTCTTGGACATTGTTAGGCATGAAGTTCCTTCTTGTATGAGAAAAGAAAAATGTGAACGGTGTTTCTAAAAGCCTTTCTGTTGAATTTGCCTAAGCAAAATATGAAAAATAACGTTGGACGGTAGAGCTGCTGACAAAGATCCTTTCTTGACCATGAAAGGCAATGTCAGAGAAGGAAGTGTAAACCTAGCATTGTCTCAACTTTGTGCAAGTTGTGAAGGAGAATCTTCGATTATTCTTTAGTGATCTTGTAAAAGCTAGTATTGATGTTCATTTACTTTTTACCACTTGTATCTTTGCGCTTGGGTTTTTAGGTATTCTAAGTATATGCTTCAAAAAAGGAAGAAAGACCTATCTAAAAAGTCAGTGATGGTAACGGGGGGAAACAGCTACACTTCACTTACTCTGCTGTAGAAACTTCTTTAAGCTACTAGTTGAAACTGCTCAAAATGTCATGGGTAGGCACAGAACAGTTTTAAAATTAGTAACAAGGAACTTTGCTTAATTTCTATGCTTTTCATCCTGCAGTGTGATGTTCAGGGTCAGAAATGCCTTATGTGGATCGTCAGAATCGCATTTGTGGTTTCCTAGATATTGAAGAAAATGAGAATAGTGGAAAATTTCTGCGGCGGTACTTCATTCTGGACACACGAGAAGACAGTCTGGTGTGGTACATGGATAACCCACAGGTGAGATGTTCTTGGAAGAGTTATCTGGCTTCTACAGATCTAAACTTTTTCAGGTTTTTAACAAGTTTACTTAAAGTGGAATTTAATATTAGTTTATGGACTTGGAAGCTGGGGTGAGGGCAAAGTTATCTAAGTAAAAATCATTGTAAATCAGTGTCTCGTCTCTGCTGATATGTGCAATATTTTATGGAAAAAATACAATTCATCTTTCTGTTTAAAAGATTACCAATTGCAGCTAGTAGTAAAACATTAAAAGCAGCTCAAACATCAGTGAATTGCCGATATATGAAGTCTTAAGTATTGACAGGATCAGATAGGAATCTGAATTTGATACCACATGTAAATCACTTGTTTGTTTTGAATCATGATGCGCTATATTTATTTTGTTTTCTATCAAGTGTCCTGGAAGCACACTGCAGGTTCTTGCAGGCACTAGGTAGTGCTGTATAATACAACAGGATGAGCTGAATCACATACTAGCTTCAATATTTCAGGTCTCTTAAATCATTTTTAATCCTATGTGGAAGTACATAGTTTGCTTTATGTTGCATGGGTCAGTTAGTAGTTTTATGTTACTTCAAGTGAATCAGTCACTGAAAAGCAGTTTCTAATGATGGTTGCAGTTTCAACACAGCATGAATGGTATGTGACTGCAAAAAGCTTGTATCCATCGTGGTGGAGAACATCCTTTATATAAAAGCTACTTTTACAATATACATGCATCAATGTGTTTTCTAGCATTGGGGAGAACAGATAATTGCTTAGGATTCAGGTACAGAGATAGTGAAAGCGTAGGATCTAGGTCAGCTGACAACTGTCTGCCAGAAGAATATTCGTGTACCATTCTGGCAAGAAGACCACAGTTAAAATGCAGTAGAAGTCTACTGTTCAAAGGAACCAACAGAAAAGAAGTAATTTAATGATGTGTAGTTCAATGAATGTGACTTGTGACTGAAGCATTCAGAAGTTCTTACTGAGAAGAAAAAAAATAATTTCTGGAAATAAGAGACTTCAAAGGTTTGATCTCAATGAGTGACACGAAGCAGTTCTTTTATTCAGTTGCTTCTGTGATATAACAAGGGCATGTGGGCAAAAACTTGAAATGCCATAGAAATTGCATTTCATCAGAAGTTTTAAGACCAAGGATATTTGCAGTGCACACCTCAAAGTTTTTAGTTCGGGCTTTCTTATCTGTTTTTTTCAATGTTAGAGTTCATGCACAAATGAAAGGGTGCCTCCCAAGGGGCCAGTTGAAGCTTCCGGATTTTCTTCCACTGCTGCTTTAGTTTTAAAGTACTGAGCTTTTATCAAGCCACTGTATGAAGACCATTCATAATCCCTGAAGTGATGAAACTCTTCATATAGGATGAGTTTACGGCGTGTGCAGAACTTCACTAGACCCTTTGTTGCTGATAGAAATGCTCTAGGTGTATCTGTGAAAATTGGTTCAGCTGTTCAAAGAAATGTTTTTAAGTCCACCATTAATCACACATTATTATCCTAATATAAAGATTATAGCACTGGTGTATGCTGGGATCAAAATCATACTGATAAAGTAAAACTTAAATTTATTTATTTGGGAAGAATGGGTGGACTTTTTTTATGAAATGTGTTACCAGTCTACAGTAAACCTAACCTACTTCCTACCTTTGAAATATGAATGGAGTATAAACCAATTATTTGTCTGTCTTTCTGACTCTGTGGGTAGCATTAAGCTCCTCTTTGTGATGTAGAAGGTCATAAGGCACTGCGGCATAATGAAGAGCACTTCAGCTGAGGAAAGGATCAGTGAGCAAACGCAGTACCATTCTTACGGTTTCCAGGAAGGCTTGTAGTGGGGAGAATGATACTGTAACATAAAGGGCCATTTTAAAAGTAAAAATTGTAATGGAAGAAAGTATATGGAAAACAATGCTTTATTTAAAGGAATAAAATTAGGAAGACTGTTTCATCAGAAACAGTTGATAAAAAGGTTAACCATGTTTTCTGATGCTCAGTTCTTAAATTGTTGTATTTCTAGGCTACTAGCTGATTGTGAATAGTAATGTAAATGTTAAGACCAGTCTACTAAACGAGGATGTAAAAGGAACAGATGGCTCCTTTTTGTATTGTAAATAGACTTAGGCTTAACTGCAACTTTATGAAGTATTATGGTCTTTCCCTGCAATAACTTTAATATTAAATAAGACTGTGATTCTACAATCCATTTTGGAAAATACGTGAGATGGTCTTTGAAGTATCTGACATAATAGATGAATGTCACTTCTTGTCCCTTCCGCCTGCCCTGGTCAAAATACATAAGATGCCAACATCTGTTAAGGAAAAAGTATTCTTTCCGGATTTCCTGGATGCAGACCTGCAAGAATCCTTTTTCCTCTAGTAAAATACATAAACCTCTGTAACAATTACTATTTGTATTGTTTCTAGCAGTCTTTCTGTTTTTAGTTGATTAACAGATGTGTGTATAATAAACAAGTAGTTTAGATCCTGTGTCAAGCATACATTGTCTATTGTCTATAAAAACACGTAGGATTTTCTTTTTGTTTATGGAATTATTTGCTTTTTATGTGTAAACACTGACTGTGGTGTGATAGGAGAATATACTAGTTTTGCTTTGTAACGTATGATTTGTTTCAGAATCTTCCTTCTGGATCTCCACCTGTTGGAGTCATTAAACTTACCTATATTTCAAAGGTAAGATAATGTTAGACATTTGTTGCTAAATTTTTGGTGATGACTAATAAAACAGCTTCTGAAGGCCTCGATTTCACACAATTTTCAATGACTCTTGCATAGCTCATATGAAGCTTTTTGCTTGTGTGCTACTCCTGAATTTTAGTGAAGTGTTACAAACACTTCAGTAGTGTCAGGTTAAAATAAGAACAGGCTAATTATTGTGTTGTCTAGGTTTGTATCATGATTTGAAATGGCAGCTCTTTGTGCTGCATATAATTAATATTTCTGAACTGTATGTTTCAGTTTTTTGTGAGTATTTGAATTCTAGTTGGTCTTGGAGAAAAGACAGGCCAGTTAGGAAGTGGAAGATAAGCCTCTGGGTGTGATAGTTTGCAAGCAATAGTGATCTTTAATAGAACAGAAAAATTTCCAGAAAATACTTATTTCATGACACACTGTATACACTCACTTCCAAATATGTCAGAAAGAAAACTGTGAACTGAGAAAGTCTCTGTAGTTAAATTTGTAGCAGATACTGCCTTGCAAATAAGTGGAGAAAAATGATTGACCTTCTGTTCATTTCTCATCCTTCCTTTTTCTTGTTGTCATACTGCATCTTCTCACCTTCCTTGTTGTGTTTTGTTGTGTTTTGTTTTTTGGTTTTTTGTTTTGTTTTGTAAAGATGTCATTGATGCTGGTATATCATGAGTACAGAAATGTCTGTGGAGATCTCCTTATGTCCTTCCTGGCTTTCTTCTTCTAGGCTTACTTTGCCCCAAACCTCACAGCTGTATTTTAAGAAATCTGAAATCTTGTATCTCACTCTTAATGGGAGCAGAGGTGGTCACTTGTGCCTTTGCACCTGATTGTGCCTTTGAAGGCAACTCAAGTGTGCCTCTTGTGCAGATGCTCCATCTAACTTCCCATAATTCTTCTAGACATGTAGTATGTGTGTTTTGTTTCTGGCCAAAAAAAAAAAGGCTTTGGTGTGAGAGACTGCTTTGCCTTCTCCCCTACCTTTGGAAGAAGTGCTCTATAATGTAGACATGTCAGTGCCTCTCTCAAAACAGGACAGCTGCATCTCTCCTCCCCCAACACTGCAACCTTTCACAGACTCCTGAAGTGGCTATTATTCTTGTTATGTTAACGAACCAAAGTAGAACTGATTTCCTTGACAGTGTGAAATGTCCTTGAATTTTTAGTTCAGTTGAGATGTAGAACTTCCAAATGCAAGTAGAAGTGTTTTATGTTTTCAGATTTCAACATTTGTCTGGTAATGAATCCTTACATTTAAGGACTAGGAACATATGCTTACCATAGGTTTCATGTTTTGAACTGAATTTTATATAATATTTCTTGTTACGTTTTTATGTCTTTAACAAGTGTGCTATGCTGCTAATCTTCAAATTTAGGCACTTGAAAGAGATAAAAAAATGTGCTATCTGTTGTATATTTTGTATGGACAGTGATATTCATATCTTAATTTCATTACTAGGTTAGCGATGCAACTAAGCTAAGGCCAAAGGCAGAATTCTGTTTTGGTAAGTCCTTGCATGCGATGTGCATCAGGTACTTTCTTCAGAATTTTGAAACAAAGATAATGTTCTGCAATTCTGTTACTAGATACAGCAGGTAGTATATTTTTTAAACGTAGTTTGTATTCGCTGTTTCTTCTTCAGTGTGAGGGAAATGTTGACTTCTTCATAAGATGTTTTTGTGGCGCTTCATATGGCAGCTTAATGAGGAGTAGGTGAGAGCTGGTTTTCAGACGTTTGAAATTTTTGGGGCATTAATAAGCTAATAAAAATGATGGGTGTTTTCAGAAACACGATATGCCTGTTAGCTAGAAGACAAGTAGTTTAACAGTATTAATCTGTATTACTGATAGAAGAGTTGATTTGATTGATCTAAAAATACTGTCAGTCAGTGTTCTTACATTAAATTTCAGTCTCTATTGCTGCACCAAAGAAAAAGAATTTGTTTGGGGTACTTTCTTGGTTTATTGATACTTAAACTTAAACTTGAGTAAAGCTTTAGATAATCATGAAAGCCCCTTAAGGTCTGCTTTTAGATTTTTCTGTAAGTAATTTGTCCAGAATTTACCATAATTCCAGATCTTTTTGACAAGCAATTGGCATTCACAAAAGTGTGTGTAGGGACTGGAATCAGCCTCTGCTCAGTTTATGAGTAACAATTCTTTATGGCTGCATTCACGTAAGAGTTTTAACTCAGATGAAGGTACTGAGAATGCCTGAAGGTTTTATGACAATTAGTTAAGGTGTCCTTTGCCATGTGCAGTGTTGTACAGGCCCGGAGAAGGCAGCTGCATTGAATTTGTGCAGTCTCTCTGTTGGAGCTCATGCAACACTTGGTAAATCGCCCCTGTGTGTGTGTGTAAGGTTTCAGGGATTCTAGACTAGTACCGAGCGTGTCAGTTCAGTGCCATCTACAGATTCCTCTGCACATGCACGTGTAGAGGTGTTTGTCTCCATCAGTTGTAAAGTTGCTTTTGTCAGAGGGCCAGCTCTGGAAAGCCTTCATGATGCAAGCTTCTAATATTTCTGATCTATTAAAGCGTTGTTAATACTTTTTAGAGGAAAAACTTATATTTATTGTCTTTTTATTTAAATACTGGGAGTTGTTGTTTCAGTCAACTCATTATACAGTTCTGTAGTTTGAATTTATATTTGCATCTAATAATCTTTGCTTCAAACCATCCACTTCAGGGAGAAAGATGGTAGAAGAGTAAAAAGTATCTTTCTGGCGTATTTGCTGTTAGCAATAACTTCAAGAACTGTTACATCGTAGGTAGAGCAGCAAAATCTGTTCAGGCTTTAGCTGCAATGCTTCAGAGTTCTGTCGAGATTTTAATCACTGTTCACCTTAAAACTGATTTCAAGATAAGGTCTTAGAATTTGTGAGAAAACTAGCCATGGATTTTTACTATTACACAGAAATATGTTTGTCTTTTTTGGATAAAGATATGCTAGGTGTTGCCAGGTAGATTTATAAACTTACTAAAAATATGCTTTCTCTGCCAAGTCACAGAAGTAAAACAAAGTTTTGTGTTCTGGCTATTTTAAAGCTATTTGGTCCTGACCATCATATACCTAGTAATCAATACTGATTTTTACACAAAAATAAAAAAAAAAAATAAAATATCAGTGATCACAGTCATGTTAATGAGTTTGTTGCAAAGGATAACAGATACTCATTGGAGGATTAAAAGGAGAAATTATAGAACTGCCCAAGTATAACACTTTGTTGCTTAGGGAAATTGAGAAAAGGGAAATGGAGCTGTAGAAAATTCTGATAAAATTAAAGGCTTTTTCCTTGTAATAAAAAATATTTGACAAATTCTACATGATGCTGTTTAAAAAGAGAGCTTAAAATTTTAAAGATAGGGTTTTTTAGAATAAAGCAAGCCTGTTAAGTGGATGTATGTATCTTAAGGTGACTTTCTAAAAAGAAATGCAGCAGGGAGCTTGAATACATCAACTGGATTTTTCCATCTGAAATCAAATCAATTTTACTATGATGGTGTTAAGTTTGCTCTTAATTTTCAGTGTTGTTAACTTCTCATAATGATTTTTGACAGTTATGAATGCAGGGATGAGAAAATACTTTCTACAAGCCAATGATCAGCAGGACCTAGTTGAATGGGTAAATGTTCTGAACAAAGCTACCAAAATCACAGTAAGTGGTTTAGTTGATATTTAGCAACGCTTTCAAATGGTGACTGTCTCAAGGTGCTGAAACGTAACCTTTGCCTTCAGTTTTTTTGCTAGAGTAGTCTTTTATCTCTACAAACAAGTCTTGGCTTGACTTTCCAAGACTTGGAGAAACTGTACAGAACTCCCCCTAAACTTAAGTTTATTTTGCTTTTTGCTTTGGATATTGGACAAAAACGTCATTAACCTTTTCATTACCTCATATGATGGTTTCTAATAATTTAAAATTAGCCATACACATATAATCACAGTATCCAGAAGACACTTGCAAGCAAAGATACACATATATTTGCCTGGTGTAGAAAGTTTGTGTTTCTTAGTGTCACTAAAATAACGAGCAAACACATCATGCCATGTTCCAAATGCTCTCTTCTGTTTTCAAGCAACGTCCATTCAAAGAAACATTAATGCATTCTTCTGGTTAGTGTTAAATTACTTTTCTGGTTTGTACCAGGACCCGCACATATTACTCCAGGCTTTTCAAGGGGCAGAAGTTACGGTTTTGTTTGCTCTCCAGTTTTGGGGTTGTGATGACATGAACTGTCTTGAGAGCATACCCTTACAAAGAAGGGGTTCTGAGCATGGGTGCATACATTTGTATTTGTTGTTGGTAGATTTCTCATTTTTAAGTTATCTAAGGATGTTTTAATGTTTGCATTGTTTTAACGTAGCCCTTTGTTTGGAGTTATAAAAATACTACTACTAATAATAAATAAAAAAATAAAAATAATAATTAAAAAAAAAAAACCACTCAAACAAACAAAAAAAACCCAGAAACAACACCTTCCCACTTGGGTCTTTTATAAAGAGGACACACTACAACAAGGCTTGAATTGTTTCCAGCTCAAGAAATAGAGTGAATAAAGAATTAATTGTATCAAATTAGAGTTTAGTCTCAAAGCTGTTTATCATTTGTTTAATTTGCATTCTAAATGGCTGGTGAAATCATTAGTATTTTTGTCTTTGAAGGAGCAAGCCTTTGAACTGTTTTTCTGTTCAGAGGTTCTTTAATATGGCCAATTATTTAGTCAAATAGTTAAGATCATTCAGTTATTAATTTTCATATGAGCGTTACTTGCTCTAGATTGTAATCCTTCAAGAGTCGTGGGTTTTAGTACTCTGAATGCTGATAGTTTCAAAATAACTATGAACCTTTGCAGTCTAGCATGTTGTGTACCTATTTGAGTACTGTTTGAAAATGCTTTCGGATGAGTAGGTGGTTGTGCGTTTGGCCTGTAACTTTTTAAGTAGGAGTTTGTGGCAGCTGAAGCACTTACCCGTAAAGCTGTAGCCCCTGAAAGGCTGAGACCCGTGATCTGTGTGCACTAGGAGAATGTCTCATCCCCTCAGCGCCAGGCTTGGCTGTGACTGGAGTCACCTTTTGCCTGTGCTGGCACAGCTGGGCGTTGTGCAAGACTGAGGGGACGGTGGAAGTGAGAGAAGGAACCTGATGCCAGAGCTGAGCGAGCTGATGAGTGCCACCTCCGCTTGGCCAGGAGGAACCTGTCCTAGGCTGACCCTCGTGCTCTCAGGAGTGTTTGTAATTTGCAGGCTGTTTTTTTTGTAAAATAAGCAGTTCTGGGCATAGGAACTAGAATCACAGCAGACTATAAAGTAGCTTTGTTTTTGTCTAGATAAGTTCAATTTTGAAAGTTTTTTTTGAATTTTTTTTTCCAAGTTTTGAAAGTGCCAGTCTTGTGTGATAATTCACTGTATAAAGACAATTTGCATGTTCCTTCTCTGAAGAAATGTAGATGTCCGATGTAATGATCCAGTAGGTCGCTTGCTAGGATATTTTGATGTGAGACTCTTGATATCTTATTAAAGTCACTTCAAATTTACTGTATTAATATTAGGGGTGACAGGAGATTATAAATGAAAATGTCTTAGGTAGCAAGTTAGTGCATTTCTTCGGTTACAGATATTTACTGCTTGTACAAACTCAGGACTTTGAGTAAATGTTTTAGATCAGAACACTTATTGGGGAAATTAAATTGCTGTGGTGTTTTGATTGCTTCAGTTCCACACTTCAGTGCATTGCCTAGTAGTTAATCAGAGTTAGAAATAGGTAGTTAGGGTCGTTTTGGACAGAATTTAGCAATATATGTAGGATTAATGGAGGCAGTACACAGTCTTCATGCCAGGTATTGGAACGTGAGTGCAAGTGTCATACTGGTCAGGCATCCTATCTGACAAAAGTCTCAATGCTGTAGCCCTGTGTTTCTGGCCTCACTGGGCTAGCTCTCCAGGCCCTGGGGCATCTTCAGGGAAAAGCACTTATTACTAAATCTGAAAGCAAGTGAAAAATAAAGAAGTAGTTCTACAAATCAGCAGTGTTTCTCGAAGATAGCACTTACGGCAAAGCTGGGAATTGATTTTTAGATTCCAGGACACCTGGTGAAATGTCTTTATTGGCACCAGTTTTCTTCTGAGAACTAAAGCATAGCCAACAAATTTTCGTATAAACTATTTTTAGCCTTTTACAGTTGGAGAAAATTTGTTAAATGCTGCTGAAGATAAATTAAAAATGCTTGAATAATGATTAGGGCTTTTTTTTTTTTTTTTAATGTCTTTCTGACACTTGTATGCTAATTGTCATATTCCACTCAGGTACCAAAGCAGTCCGATCCTCTGTGTCAAATGGATAATGCAAATCGTCAAGCTGAAAGCCCAGGTGGAAAGAAGCAAGTCTCTTACAGGACAGAAATTGTGGGCGGTGTTCCTATCATTACACCTACCCAGGTAATACCCATAAAGCAAGTGGGCTGTTATTTGGTAGAGGAGGCTTTGTTGTTTGACAGGTGAGAATAGGTTCTGTGTGACAATATAGCTGTCAGCTTCTCCCCCTGCTCAGAGGACTCCTACTTTTGATGTACACCTTTTATTGATACTGACGGGGGTGTTTTGAGATTTTTATTCCTTTTATACAAGATTATAGAGAATTATACAAGACTATAGAGAATTACTTAAGTATTGATTTTTGCTCACAGATACTGGCTAGTATGCTGAAAACATCTTTGTGTGTGACATAAATTGTTAACAATGCCAAAGTTCCGTCTTTAACTTCCAGGAAAAGTAGGCAAAAAAGGAGGTGATGAAGTCAGCTGATTATATATACACACTATGTTATTAGAGGTAGTAAGGATGACAGCAGATTAAACTATTGCAGAAAGGCCTTATGAAATGGCATGTGTGGACAAAGAAGATAGCAAGTGAAATTCAGTGAAAATAAATGATGTAAGGTACCCTGGGAAAAACAATCCTAGTTTTTATAGAAAATACTAGGCTGTAAAATAACCATTTCCACTTGAGTGAGAGGCAAGAGTTACAGTCACACTATGACAACATCATCTTGATGATCAGTTACAGTGGAGGAAAAACGCCACGAATATTAGGAGTTACTAGAAAAAGAGTAAGGAGCAAAACAGAAAACATCTTTGCTTTGATCAGAAAACATCTTTGCTCTTTGACCAGACCTTGATTACCGTTTCCAGTTTTGTTCTCAGCTTAAAAACTATAACTGGAAAGGTTCAGAGAAAGATTTCAAGGGTGATTAGTCCATGTGGAATGATCTCCATATGAGGAACAATTGAGTAGGCTAGTACTCTTCCATGTGCAAAAGAAATAACGAAATGAGGATGCAAGAGCTTTACAAAATCATGATTGGCAGGAGTGGATGGTGTAAGCTGTCTTTTCCAATATGACAGCTATGGGCTTTTAAATAAAGCTAATGGTGTAACCAGGTGAAATAAAGGGAAGGAGTTCTTTCAGTGAGTAATAATACCTAAGGTGTTCCTTGCCAAAATGTGGCATGGATGCAAAAAACTTTCCTCAGTTTGAGAGACTGGACAAGCTCATGGAAGCACTGTTGAAGATACAGACCTCTACCTGTTTCTGGAAGTTCCCTGAGCTGAAAATACAGAGTAGATTAATACCATGGAAATGACATACCTGAACTGCGTTTGGAAAGTTGGTGAATACTGTGTCCTGTGATCCTAGAAATAGCTTTTCCTTTGCTGTAACCACCTCTAGTGTTTTGCCCTTTAAAGTCATGTTATGAGTTTGCACTGGAAACATGCATATATCTTGGGTTTAGGCCTGTAACATTGTTCATTGACTGTTTGTCAATATTGTTTGAGAACACTCAGCAGTTTTAGTTTCTAAAGGGAGCTTGCAAGTACTGAACCAGAGCCCTTAGAGAGTCTTATTAGTTGTCTCTAGAAATCAGTTGAAATATTTTATCCTTTCAAACAAATTGGAAATGAGATTTGTGAGCATGGGATGATATAGTTATTTCCTATTATAGCTAGTACAGCTATTTTTTGACCTTTAGGAAAAAAATGACAGTATTCTGAATTTTCCTGCTTTTTTTCTAGAAAGAAGAAACTAGTGAGTGCGGTGAAGGGGGTGATAGGAATTATTTGAAACGATCACAAAGTCATCTTCCTTATTTTACTGCTAAGCATCCCCCAGATAGCGCTATTATCAAAGCTGGCTACTGTGTAAAACAAGGAGCAGTGGTAAGTATTTGAGATCAATGTGTTTTATTAATCAAGAACCACGGGTCTGAAGGTGGTAGTTATACTTACCAAGTAGACGCTTACAAAAAAAAAACCAAAAACAAAAACAAAAAAACCACAAAAACAAAACAAACAAACAAAAAAAACCCAAACCAAACAAACAGCCAAAAAACAACCAACCAACCAAACAAAAAAAAAAAAAAAAAGAAAAAATGTGTTTACCAGTGAATTTAGCACTACTGATAATATTAAGGATGGCTAAAGATAAAACTACTTCTCCAATAGCATGTAATTTATGTCTGTATTACTTGTTTTCATTACTTTCTTCAGTGTATGTTGTTGGAGATGTTTTGGAGAGGAAAAGTTGTGTGCACGGAGATTTCCACATTATGGTTAGTGCGTGCAGCTAGGAATTCTGTTCTACAGTTATGTAGAGATCCTTATTTCACTTGGTAGAAGCATCTAAATTAAGGCAGAAGTCCAATGTCTTCATGCTTTTTAAACCACTAAAATGTTTAGAAAAAGCTAATTTTTTCAGTTCAGAGGAAGAATTGTACAACTTGTCAGACTGATTAACACGAGTGGAACTATTCATATCATGCCTTGCTAAAAGAAGCAACAGATAATTCGGATTAAGCGGGATATGCATGCTTCGTGAGTTCTCAGACTCATTTTTATCTTGGATTGTGAAACTTCTTTTTGTAACATTTATTTTTAGTTAAAAATAAACTAGAGACCTTTAATGCACTGCCTTTTAACATTGCTTACGGAGTATTTGTGCTGCTGAGTTGCTACAGTTTTAGTGGAGATTGTTGAAAAAGTCATATAATAGAAAATGGTATCTTCCAGAATTTTTAATCTTTGCAGTTTAAAAAAAAAAAAAAATGTGCAAGTCTGCCCAAATTATTTTGGGGGCACCGTATATATATCCAACACACATAGAAATAAATGTTTTATACAAAAATTATAGATGAATAATTATAAATGAACTATACACTATGAAGTTGAACTACAAATATATGAATAACATGTAAGTATATTTGCATTTTATATTTAAAATATATAAATATCTATTTGTTTTCCTTTAATAGATGAAGAACTGGAAGAGAAGATACTTTCAGTTAGATGAAAACACAATAGGATATTTCAAGTCTGAACTGGTGAGTTTCCAAACATGTATTATTTTCCAGTGATAGTTGCAAGAAAATATAAAGAAATATGCTTATATTTGAAAAATGTACTGTGCTGCTCCTGCAACTCTTAACTCTGTACTGTAATAATTTTTCATGATTGGGAAGAACAAAAAAAGAATAGGGTAACTGTTAACTCAGACTGCAGTCTTCTCTTTGGGAATCCTTCTGTAGGGCACTGGAGAACAGTAATGAGATACTGTACAATCACCCTGATTTTTTTATTAGTACCTTATGTCACTGTACTCACACATAAATAATTGTGTTCTTGAAACAGCTGATCATTATGTGGAGAGATAAAACTGTAATCTTGCAATTCTTAAAGTTAGAATTATGGGGTGTTTTATCATACAAGTGATGGGATCTTTTCCCACACACTTCTTTCACTAGGGCAGCCAAGACAGGCAAAAAACTCAGCTGCTCAGAAGCAAGGCTTACAGAGTTTCTGTTTTGGTTTCATGACCTTTTTTTCTCCACTCATCACTCTTCAACATTTTGACCAATTTTAACCAAATGTTAAGTGCCTTCAGGCTTCATTTAAAAATGAAGTGGCTGGTACTGGAGACAGTCTGTTCTCCTCAAAAAAGAATCTCACACTTACTAAACATGAGAAAATCTGTACCGAAGGAGAGAAGTCTGAGTTGTAGAGTATTGTAAATTAAGGAAAATCGAGTTTACAGGCCAACTGTAAGATGTAAAATGCCAAGAACCCAAATTTCAGGCTATTTCTGAGGAGAACTTCTTTACTTTTAATGAGGGAGTATACAACAGCAGCAGCAGTTTGATGTTGGATCACTGTCTTTGTTAAACTGTCAGCATAACACGGTTCTGACTCATTGCCTATAATAAATGCTCTATTTTTGTTAAAAAAAAAAAATCTGAGTACAGATTGCTCACAAGCGAATTCTCAGTGAAGAATTGTACTGTGTGAGAGTATACTAGAAAGATGGTAGAAATGCATATGCATTTAGTGTTTCATCATGCTCCTTTCCAACGTCACTGTTTTGAACAAAATAAGATCTTGTAGTGTCCTCTATTCTTCAGGCTAGTATCCCCTTGATGCTGTTTGAGGAAGCTGTCTGACCAGCTGTCAGATAACAGGGAAGTAGATACCGCTTCACAATTTTTACTGAAATTAGGGTTTTTTTACATTTTAAGAGTCATCCCTCTTCAGGGAAGTAAGTACTGAGTAGATAGAGAATGTAGTGTCCTTAATTGAGCTACAGAAGATAATCGAAGAATTCCACGGTTAGGAAACCTAGTTGTGATAATCATGTTTCATATAGTTTTTTAAACAATTAGGATCTGCCTTGTCAGTAATGTGTGGGATCTCCTGTTCCTAATGAGAGTAATACAAAGATAAGAAAGAAGTTCAATAGCAGTTATTTGTCTTTGTGGTTAAGAAGGCCATGGCATGGAGGTCGTGTTCAGCTAGCGTAGCATCAGACTTCTAATTCTGGAAAACTTCTTTCTGTTGGACTTCAATTCCTCCCAGTAGCTGCAGTCTTCAGTCAAGTATGGCTCTTTGTTTAAATTAGTTTGCCTTGACAGCCAGCCTCTTCACCAGTACCTCAAATGACTCAGACTGGATATCTTGAGGTGCTGTTGTTTTACATCTGTAGAAAGATATCTGAGTGTTCAGCTCTCAAAAATGCGAAAAAGTGTTGGGTTTTTTTCTTTTTGTTGATTGAAAAATGTGGAGATTCTGGGGATTTTTTTTGTTAAGGTTGTTTGGTGTTGTCATGTGTCCATGTCTCCCCCCACCTCTTAATGATCTCCCCTTTCCAGTTTGAGGAAAAGCCTATGTCAGTCTTCAAGTGGAGCATAGTGGAATCCAGGCAATATCAGACTCAGAAAATTAGAATCTCTGAGCTGAGGTCTTCCCTGCAACAGGTGTCTGCTCCAAGGAGGATCCTACAGTTCACATTTGATGTATTTGAGAACTCTGTTGTAATGGTTGAGGGAACCTAGGAAGAACAGGGTGGGAAGAGGGACAAAATAACTGAAAACATTGAGTTTTAAACTCAATACATTTGATCTGCTATGGACACAAGTGATCTCGTAAAAACTGACATTTGAGGATGGTTACATTTGGATGATGTTAGCTGTTTACTGTAACAACATAAATCTCTTAAGTATATGTAATAGAAATTGTAGGGAAAGTAGTCATTCCAGAGCTGGCAGCTTTTGTTTTGTCTATAAGCTGAAGCCAACTGCAGTAGTCCATTGTAACATTGCTTAAAGAAAACACATCAGGAGGTAAAATAAGTTGTTTGTTTGTGTTTTACTGCAACAACCACAGGAAGATACTAGTATGTGTGACATTATGTTGCCATGGCAAAAGTGAAAGTCTTTCTGTTGAATTTTCTCACTTTTTTTCCTGTTGTGTGAAACTTTGACAGAATTGTAACACTTATTTTTGTTACGGTAACAGAATTTTCATATGCTTTAAGAATACTTGCTCTTTTACAGGTTTTGGTATGACTGATTTCTTTATTTTTATTCTATTGAAAGTAGGATACAATCTTGTTTAAAGTCATGTTACGCAGTACAATTAACAAAGCATCTCATATTGTAGCATTTCATAGCAAATTAATATAACCATGGTTTTACTGAAATAAGCTGCTTGAGGCCAGATTCAGTTTTCTGATCTACTTAGGGGAAGGGGACAGGGGTGCTTGTCTCCATTATGGTAAGGTGAATGAATGTGGTTTGGGTTTTTTTTAGTTCTTGTTTTTGCCTCCTCTTCGGTGCAAGTGCCATGGCTGGTTTAATAGTTACAAAAGCAAATTAAATTTTGGTTGACATCACCTTTAGTGTAGGTGGCTGCCGTGAAAGTCACATTTACCATAAGGCTGCTGCTGTCAACTGTCCTGACCTCTGGCTTTTTGAACGTATTCTAGTTGTTAGACATGCTCCGCTGAAATACTTTTGCCTTCTTTTTTCAGGAAAAGGAACCTCTCAGGGTTATACCACTTAAGGAGGTCCATAAAGTTCAGGAATGCAAACAAAGGTGAGGAGGGAAGCACTGCTGTGGTTACATGGGATGTAGTACACTGCCTCGTCATGGCTAGACTGCTCACTGAAACAGTGGAGATCTTTTTAATTACTTCAGTTGATGTATGCATGTGTGATGCTCTCTTTACAGGACAGCAAGTAGTTTTGTGCATAAAACTGGTTTTGAGGGTTCCACACTAGCGTGCGTTTCAAACTTGGAACATTCAGTAGAATGTAAATGCATTGGGCAAGGGCGGAACAAAGGAGTATCATGCAATCCTGAGTTAGAGATGCATGGGTGCTGTCTGATTTGAGGCAGCAATTTTAGGAGTGTCTATTCTGCTTATTTAATCTTTAAACCTTTGGAGGACATTACCTTATGTTAAATGTCTGAACTTAGATGAGAACACTTTCTCCTGCTCTTTCCCTCCCACCGAATGGCAATATACTAAGGAATTAATCATCTTTGTAGTAGTTTTCTTTTTTTTAGCAGACTACTGCTTAGGACTAATATTTTGCAAAGACATAACAAAATATAAATGTGAAATTTTACAGAAGGTTGACAAGAACAATAAATATGTTTAAGCTTAACATGATATGGTATAGAATGTTCCAGTTGAAAATCTGTATATATAGTAGCACACATGCCACTGAAACTAAAGAGTTTTAGGACTAAAATGAGTAAGAGATGCTGGTTTTCTTTTTCTACTTAGTATTTACCAAAAAAAACACAGTAGCTTGATAAAGAAATGCAAAGGTCTTCAGACAACAAATGTTCTGGTTCTCTGCAGATCCTAGAGCCTTTTTAAAATAAAGTTGTACATGCTGTTGAAGTATTTTTTGTGTGCTTCATTTACAGTGATATAATGATGAGAGACAATCTCTTTGAAATTGTAACAACCTCTCGAACATTTTATGTACAGGTAATTTCTATTTTAACCTTTGGGCAAAACTCTGAGACTGCCATAGTCAAAGCAAAGAAGCAGGGCAGTTTTGCTTTCTTGGTTGTATTTAACTGCCATGATTTTCAGAGGGAATGTGATCTTCACTACCTTTCAGAAGGATACATACAAGAAATATTCCACATAACAGCAACTGTTATGTTGGTAGTGTGCGAAAGCAATAAACAATCAATCCTAATGTGATTTAGTTGGCATTTGGGTCTTCAAATTCTGTAGAATCAGCTCAGTATTTTAAATCTTACATTTTGAAGTAATGAATTTTTATGTATAGTAATTGAGTTCTCAGATTCAAATTAGTTGCCACATTCAAATATCTACCAAAGCACAGAAATGTTTAGATTTCAGTACCTAGTTGGTAATACGTATCCATATGGATTTATTCACTCCATGTTACCTTTTAAATGTTTGAATATAATGAAAATCACAAAGACTTGCTTTTTCCAGCTCTGTTAATGTGGAGCTTATAGTACTGAAAATAATTTTTGAGTTTTTCAGGTAGGATCATGAAGGCCTGTATAGTCTAATACAGACAGTAGTGCCAGATTCTGAGTTATGAGCTGTCCTGTGGCTGAACATAATTAAGTGACATGTTGCAGATGTTTCTTGCTGGGTGGATGTGCTAGTTTAATAAAGCTGCAACCTAATTAGCAGATAGCTTTAGCTTTTTATCTGTCTGTATCCCAGATATGTACACCCTTGGTGTTAATCTATTGCATTTTTGTTGGACTGTTGTTCTAAGTAGCTGTACAGCTGACCCCCAACAGAGACTGATTTTTATTTTACTGTAACTCTTCAGTAAATACCTCTAGAAGTACAGTGCAACAGTGACTGAAAAGTACAGAAGTTATGTCATTGGCCAAAGTCTGCTAAGAGGAGTCAGCAGATCTCCTGTAAGAATTTGTGGGAGCTTTTATTTTTTTGTTTGCTGAAAAATAAAAGTTTGAGTCTAGAGTATGCAAATAGTATAAAAACGCTGATTTCTTGCTTATTATATGCATGTAGTTATAATAGTAAATGCAGGGTGAGACTTTAAGAAATATCTGTGTTAAGAAATGGAAGTCCTTATGGCTTTAAATAACAGACTACTAAAGTAGGGTAGGGCTCCCATTTTAATGCAGATGGTCAGGGTGCTGGGGAAGTTGAGAGTTGATAATGTTAAATGTAATGCATATTGTTTGATCCAGGCGGACAGTCCAGAAGACATGCACAGTTGGATAAAAGCAATATCTGGGGCCATTGTAGCACAGCGGGGACCTGGAAGATCAGCAGCTTCCGTATGTTATTCTGAACCTCAGAGAAAACGTGATTAGTTGATGTTCATTTGTGCACATGAAGTTGTAGTTTCTTCCTTTTGCCTGTCCTCTATCCTGTCCTGTAGTAACATGGCATCTTTGCATGAACCTTCATACAGACTGGCATAAAATACTTTGCGTTTTTAATTGAACACTGACCTTAGTCTTACATGTATATAATTTTGCGTGCGTTGTATTGTCTTGAGCAAGTAGATAATGCAAATGCTAACCCAGAAAAATTCTTCTCAGTTCAGTATGATCTTTGTCACTATGCTGCTACTAGTTTGGAAGTAAAATTGAAACTTTCTAATTCCTGCGAGGTGTTTCTGCTAATTGCTGAATTTTGCAATCAAATTACGATATCCTAATTTGGTTTTGACAACTCTACCAAATTGTCATTTTCTGTTGTTGATAGTTTATTACATGTGCAGATACGGGTTCAAATTTAAAGTAACTTCTTTACGAGATCTCTGCTCGCATGAATTAATTTTTGCTGTTGGAAACGTAGTGTGAACACCATCTAGCTTTACTGAACTGAGGCACTGGTACAAATCTTAATATTTGTGAAACCATGTGGATGCCAACATATCATACACGCTTGCATTTAAACTGTATTAGGTGATCAGTACAAAGTACAGTAACTTGTGAATAGTGAAGGTTACTGTAGTGTCACAGTGTCTCCAAGTATGTCCAGATTTAACAAATGGAATACTTCGTAGTTCAGATGTTGCAAGCTATGGTTTTCACTTTCTGGCTATGGGATATTTTGTAATAAGCTGAATATATCATTACCCCCACAGTCTGAAATCTAACAATTTAAATCTGGCTTTTGACTACCCGTTTGCATTGATATTGCATTTCTGTTAATCTAAGCTCTCAATTATTTTTTGCAGCTGGGAGCTGCTTCATGCTTTTAAATAAAACTTCCTTGCTAAATTCTGTTTCTTTTTGGGGGAAGGAAAATATGCAGATAACTCTTCTTTGTGTATGCTTTTTTTTGTGGGGCTAACCGAGCAATTTAGCTGTTACTGTCTGCATCACTTCTTTCTTTTTCCCTCTCTTCTCTTCTTTCCCCAAGTATAGGTTACTCTAATCTTAGCTTTGCACTGTGTTCCAGATGCGGCAGGCCAGAAGGCTGTCGAATCCTTGTATACAGAGGTATACATCAAGAACTGGTGAATGCAGCACGTATGTGGGCTCTCATGTAAACTTGCCTTCTTAACAGAGGGCTGGGTCTAGAGACTAATTTGCACTATAAAAAACTAAAAATAATGCTACCTGTTGTCATTATCATTACTGAAAACTAACTCATAAATTATATCGTTCACTTACAGGTTTGCACTGTTTTTTCTTACTTTTAAAACAATTGGAAATTAAAAATGGCAGAAACGTATTTATAGTTCAAAGCATACTATATATATTTAAACATAGGTTATGTGGTGTCATTTTAATAGGAAAGTATTAAAGCTAATTTGCATGAGAGTTCATATTTCCGTTTTACTTTACATTTTTTTTGAAACTGCGCAAAAGCAAAATTCAATTTAAGCTACCCACAAACTAATACAGATGCGTGCACACAAAAAATGCACGTCATAACTCTAGTAATTGGAAGGATAATATTGTAGCCTGATTTGCATGGCTTATAAGTCTCTGCATGAAATTAATAGTTCAAACGTAGAAGCATTATAACGTATAATCGGTACACTGTTCAAAGCGGTACACCTTGGGAGTAAAACAGCAGCACAGGCTCTTAACTGTGAAATTACAGTCAGTGTGGGTAGTAAAATCTGAGTATCCTTCAGTTCAACTTCGCAAAAAGTTTATTATAGAGGTCTTGTCCAGATATTCCTTTTGTCCTATTTGTTGAACTAAAAATGGTAAGAATAGTAGGTGAATCACTGTATCGTATGTTTTCCTAAAGCAAAGGGGGTTTTTTAAAGTGGAGTATTGAGTCAGGTATGAAATAAGGCAGTGTGAGTAATGTGAAATACTTCACTGCAATTGAACATAGAACTGAAGTCCAAAAAAAGTTGCACAGCTCCTTCACCCAATAATATTAGTTAATTGATAAAAAGAAGTACAGTAGTACTTGGCAGATTCCATTGTGATTAAGTTTATGAATTCTTGTCGTAGCATTCTAAAAGAAACTTGGAAAACTGCTGTGAAAAAGTATTTCATTTAGGCGGTATATGTGCATCTTGGACACACATCTGTGATGGGTTTTTTTGCTAACAAATGTGCTTGAAAAGGGACTTGTGTCCACACACGGGCTCACAGATTTCTTTAGTTGATGTACTAACAGTGGCGGTGGCAGAAGTGGCAGCAGCTGCAGCTCCTCAAGCGCGCGGAGGGAAGTTTGCGCTGCATCATCGCGCAGCATTTTGATCATATCTTCATACACTGTATCCAGCGCTGTTGTAGACCTCCCTCGGTGTTGGAGGCATCCTTACAGAACTGACAGATACGATGCAGAATCCGAAGAACTTTTTGGTCTGGAGATAGAGCTGTAGGTCAGCCAGGGATATCTTAGGATGTCTAAAATGGCACCCTGCGCTTTTGCTTTAGGCATCTAAATCATTCCTCGGTAGTCTGGGAACTTGTTTCTGTCAGTAAGTAAATGGTGGAAGATTATTTTCACAGTATCAATCGAAGAGAGTTGTGTAAAGGTCATCAGAATGGCAGCTCACAATAAACACAAGTAAATAACTTGACAGTTAGAAGTAATAGCTTAAAGATCAGTTTCCTTTCTAGGTCCATTAACTTTGGAAACTGCTACACAGTCTTGATGGCATAAAATACTGTTTTCGTTTGGTCCCTGTTAAAAATTGTGGAGATTGGTAGCCCAAGAAGAGGGAACAGTAAAATGTGCATTACTTCAGGATTTAAGATATAAGTGCCTGATACATACGAATACGTTTGAATACATTTTGCTCTTGAAAAGACGTTCCTTTCAGTGGCCTTTAAAGCGTGTATCTTCAAAAGATTACTTAACACCTTAGTAAAATGAGCAGTTTCAATTTGCTAGGCTGTATTATAAAGTCTGAGGAGCTGCTGAGCTTGATTTGAGAAATTTAATTTCCTCAAATGAAGAAACTGATGTTGCTGTCACATACTGCTGTAAGCTCACATTTAATTATACGTTGCCTTGAGAGAGCACCTGCCTCCTGCTGCTGTGGCTGATGCTTCGCTTTGTGTATTTTCTGTCTGGATTTTTGTTTTTGCTTTTTTTTTTTTTTGTTTTGTTTTGTTTTTTCTGAGAGTGAAATCTGAAACTGCATCTTTTCAACATGACGTCAGTGACTTCATCTGACACGTGCTCTTCTTTTCCAGGAGCATACCGAGTCTCCTTCCGAACCCAACCATGCTCTCCGTTCTGCCACCCCAGCCCCAGCCACCTCACATTCCACCGCCACTCACAGCAGCCCTCTGGTCCCAAACCCTCACGCCAAATACCCTGCCTTGGAGAAGCGAGGATTTCACGAATCTTTTACCAAGGCCAAGCCAGGGAGCTGCAAGATCCAGGTTGTCGCTCCAAGAGAATCAGCTTCCAAAGTGACTGAACGGGGCCTCTCGGAACCTCAAAGTAAAAATGGCACTCAGGAACAGGATCCTGGCCTTGTGGATCTGGATGATGCAAGCCTTCCAGTGAGCGATGTGTAGCGATGGAAGCGTTTGGAGAACGATCCATTTGTTCGGTCCTCTAATTTCCTTGCTTGGACTTGTAACCAAAGAGAATTATAGGAAATGAGAACAGGAACACTGATTTTTATATATATGTATGTGTGTTTCTGTGCACACATGTGTGTATATATAATGTGTTTGTATATTGCCTTTCAGCGGGGGGTCAGAAGCGGGCCTCTCGCATTTTCTCAAAGCCTGATAGTAGATCACGTACTAGGGAGGGGCCAAACTGCACAATGTAGAAGGGGGGGGGGGGGGGGGGGGGTGAAGACAAAAACAAAAAAGTACTTCTGCAAGTAAGCAAGGTACCAGCAACTTTTCATTCCTAATCTGGCAAATCTACTAAATTTACAACTAATGCTACATTGGGAAGAACTTATTGCCAACAAATGTGACTACTTAATTTCATTTTTAACTACAGTAAGATTTTAGCAGTAGATGAGAATTGTTTCTCTCCATGACTTTCAGATACCAGGAAATGCACAAAATGTTTCTTCTGTTCTTTAGGATCAACAGTGTCAACTGATTTGTTATCAGAACAAGAATTCTGAAGTCCCTTGGAATTCTAATTATGGTGCTGTAAAATTTCCACTAAAATAATATTTTGAATAGTCAGCCTATTTTTGATGCACTCCTAAAAGTGTGTTATAACTTTTTGCACATTTGGATTTAACGGACCGCGTGTAATGGTGTTTTGGAGGGGGGAGAAGAGAAACTGGACTTTTGAATTTGGACACTTTAGATCATTTGAACAAAGAAGGGTTTATATTGTGTTACATTAGGCTTTGCAGCAGTTATTTTTCTTAAATGTCTAAATGTATCATTTGATTACTGTTTTGAGATTACTGATTCTTGTCAGTGCTTTGTGAACAGTTCTTGTTTCTATATGGATCAGTGGAAAACCTCCTCGTTTAGTTTTGTCGTTATTGGTACTGAACTGTTCATAGTCATGCAGTGGTGGCCTATAACTTTTGGTGCACTAATAATCTTAAGTGCCTGTGTTTTTTCTCACACTGTTGAAACACTTTTGGATTAGTTATGTACACAAACCATTCTTAATGGTTTTGAACGTTGGCTTAGAGTTGTTCTGAATAGCATAGTTCAAAACAGCTATTTAAAATAGACTACGCCAGGGATACCAGTGTTCTGGTATTGCACCTACTAGCTGTGCAATATATGTTTTTAAAAAATGAGTATTTGTTTGTGTACACTGTGTTACGGGGCTTCAGTGATGCAAATGAAAAGAACCTTTACATTTCAAGGATTGGACTGACTGTGTACTTTTCGTCGTTCTGAAAAATGTTTGCTTTAATCAAAACCCCACAAATATCTCATGCTGCTGCTTATTGTGATTCAGATTGTCCAGCTTTGCGATACTTTTTTTTCTTGTCTACTGGAACCTAGGATACATATCATACAAGTCCATCGTCTCTCCAACTTCCAAACTGACTTCCTGCTTGAGAGATATGGATGGCTTTACCACAAGAATTTGTTGATCCAAGGATAGAATAATTGGTGTCATATAAGAATGAAATCTAATTAACTTCAAGAGCTTAAATTATATCAGCACCTTCATTTTTTTTATCCATAAGCTAACTAACCACTGTCTTAAGACAGCGGTGTTTGTAAATTACTGGTTTTATTTGACTCTAGGTATATGTGAAAACTACCACAGAATTGGAAGTTACTGTAAATGTCTGTACTAGTATTGTAGGTTTTAACTTCTATAAAACAATAGCTCTTAAAAACCTTATTTTTTCATAAGTACATTCTGTGTGGAAGACACTTTGCATTGAAATATTTTTACTGTAGTCTGTCATCTGAAATCACTTGCTCTGGTACAGCTTTCACACTGCATGTTCATTTTATTATATTTTGGTATCGGCAATTTTACACATTGGGTGGAGGTAAAGCAGCTCCATTTTGGGACTTATAAAAAGAGGGGGGGTGGGGGGGAAGGAAAAAAGCGAACTACTGTTGTAGTTCAGTAGCATAGGGAAATATTTGTGGTTGGTAACTGTCAGGGTCTCCTATTTATCAGTACTTTTATAAATCTATGAAAATTGTTAAATTATTTTAGAAACAGTGCTGTAAATATGTCACATTTAAATTGTCAATAAATCAGTTTGGGTAACTTAAAATAAGATCTGACTGAGTTTCCTTGCACCATGTTAAATGTTTTATCAGAGCAGTATACTCCTTTATGGCGTATAAGAGGTCAGATTATCTTTTATCCGGCTATAATGTCTTTTTAATTCTTCAAGTCTGATCAGGCTGTGCAGCCTAAGAAAGAGATTGAACAGAATGAGCTGGTTTTCTTTTACTGTTCTCAGTTCATTTTATGAAATTTTTGCACGTTATACAAGGGAAATGGGTCAGGTTTCTTTTGCATCAATGGGAAGGCAAAGATGATGGATAGCAATGTCAGGTTAACCGTTTGGAAACACTTGGGCACTGTCTGAAAGGGGAGGGAGAACAAAATGTGACATGCTTTTTTCTGGCTTTATACTGTTGCATAAGAGAGATTCGCTCTCAAAAATGCTTTCCTGAAATAACGGCACGCGTGTGATACCTGGAAGGACCTCACTGTGCAGCAGACAGTACAATAGCATCAGGCTTGACTGACTGCATTTCTCAAGTCCATTTTTCCCTTTGGTAAAATGACACACTTAATCTCTCTGTCGCAACAGTAGGCAAGCTTCAGGTAAAGAATAGTAATTGAATAACGTCTTTTATATAGGCTGTACACAGTTACCTAAATTCCAGTTTGACTGTGACATCATCTGACTGAATTACTCCAGGCACGTACACATCTGTGGTTACAGTAGCACCAAAATGTTCACGCTATTGCCCCCAGCATCTCACTCCATTAACATACGGCTTCTGGAGCAGTCACTGTCCATGGTAACCAGCCGCCCCACAGGCCAGAGTTGGTATGAAATGTGTATGTAATTGTACCTTTGGTAGCCCACCTCCATTGAAACCAGACGTTTTCAGCTTTATCATAACATCACGAAGTTCTGAATGCAGCGTGGTTGCAGCAGTGTGGAGCCGATGTTTCAGTCCTTGGTATACGAAGTTAGATACTAATCTGTATACAGTAATGCAGCTTATTCTTCCTAGTGATAAATGTCAGAATAAAATGCAATTACTGGCTGCAACTCAAACTCATTTGAAGGAACTGAAAATGCCATTTACAGCTCGTCTCTCTTCTCGCATGAATCTCTGCTGTTTAGCTTTCAACTTTTAATCTTCTAATTATTTTCATAAGTCTTATTTACTTTTCACAGCCCATTGAGACCTGAACTGTTGTCCCTGAGATGACTTGGATGCTCTGTCTTTCTACGTGCTATCTTGCATGTTTTCATTTGCTGTGTACTTGCTGCTGCCCCTTTACTGAAGAACGGAATTACTCTTTATGGATTTAAACCTACTGTGTTACAATGAGAAATTTACAGAAATTGTAACTGTTAGATCTGCAGTCCACGTGCCTGAAGGTAACTGCCAAAGGGCAATGGTCCAGAATATAGTTTAATAAGCTGGCGTATTAACCTCATGGAATAACAGGATGTCAGCACCACCTAGAGGTCATGCTCTAGCTTTAAAAATTATTCATGTCAGGCATTTACTTTCTAAGTGTGTTTCTGAATCTTAAAAATCCATCTTGACACTGCAGTTGTTAAGTCACTGGACTACTTAAAGTTGGTTGTTTTTGTTTTGGTTTGTTTGTTTGTTTTAAATCTTGATCCGTGTGAACTTTGAATTGCAATGGTAGAAAATTGGTTGAATACAAGACAAAACATTCTGTTTTCCCTGCTGCTTTTATTTACAATACTAGTTTACTCCTGAGGAAGCTGTGATGTTATAGGGAAAAAGTGAGTAATCTGTTAACTTGTCCAGTGAATAATGGAAGTGTGGGGCTTGAAAGACTTGCGTATGTCCAGCAGTGTAAGGCAGTAGCTTTCTGTACTAAGAGGCCATGAGCTGAGCTGGTTGACTTTCAATTACTGCAGTTTTAAATTTCTGGAATGCACCTGGGAAAGTGCTTATCTAGAGTGACGCAGCTGGTCAGGAGGACCTTGAAAATGTGTTGTCCAAGAACAGTCTCTTCCACTACTGGACTGGAAAGGAAGCATCTCTGCTGCTTTTGGTAGGCAAAGCAGTGCAGCACAAAAATACGAGTTTGGAGGTTGACCAGGGTGATTGGGCCTACAGATTGGAGGAGGAGACCAAACCGGTTTGAAACTTCATTCTTTACTAACTGAGCTGCCGCTTTAATAATTGTACTTTTTGACTCTGAGGTTTTGCAATTGCATGTGTAGTTTCAGAAGTCACAATTCTATACAGATATGAGTTAGAAGTGCCCACGACATCACTGACTGTCTCCTGTCATAGAAATGGCTGTGTTAGTAGAAAATGTTGATACTCAAAGGCTAATATTTTTAGGGTTTATAGGAAGTCTATATTATAATGGATGGTGAAACTGGTGAGCGTGCCAAAAAGGTGCACTCTGAAGGTGTGGGACAGAAATATTGCTGCTGTTACAAAGATTCCATAGTAATTTGAGGTGGGAGAGGGGGAATAAATGAAAGAAGGAGAAATGTGGACGGGGCATTTTTAGTCTAAAAGTTTAAGATACTTTTTAAAAAGCCCTCTGTTGTATATAGTTTTACCTTTTATCAGTTTTATTTAATGTCTTAATACTCATCTATATTTTGGACCACAATGTATATAACTATGGATGCTCCAAGCCAGTAAGCTGCTAAAGTACTTGTGAGATCTTCCATGGAAGTAACAAAGGCTACACTGGAAAATTTTAAGTGTGAGTCCTGTTCTGAATCATGTCCCAAATATCTGCCTTGTTTTTTCACTTCAGATTTTCTGTGCAGCCTCTCCGAGAAGAAGAAACTGGTACTTATTTGTACAGGCACTATGTAATGGTGGTGTAGTAGTTGAATATTGCTCTTCAAAGTGGTGCCTTTGACACTGTAATTAGGGATTTACATTTAAAATGACTGTAATTTTGCATATCAATATGCATAGTGAGCACATGGTTTAAGAATTTGAACCACTCTGTTGCGCTACATTCCTATTGCCCCCAATCTCCTAATGAAAACTGAGCACATCAGCACACCGAGGTGCAACGGCTGTTCTCAACCCGTGGGTGTCAACTGCATGTTTTCATAGCAGTGCGTTTGTCTTCTGTAAATTAAGTAATTTTTGAAGCTTCAACACTTGCTTTACAGTCCCTGCCTGTAGTGTAATACTGGTACTCCTAGTTGTAGCATTGCCCTCTGACATCAAGAAAAAAAAAAAAAAAAAAAACCAAACGTGTACACAAATACATATTTTATTTGTTCAGATTGGCAATCGTTTCTCAGGGAAGTTGCTTGGTTCTTTACAAAAGACACCCTGATCATTCATTTATTTTGTAAATGATGCCAACAGCTATGCTTGTCAAGCACCAGGGCTGAATTCACATCTGGAAAAGAACATGTGGTTTTAAACTCGCTGGTTTGCAGCCATTCTCTTCCAAAGTAATGGCATTTTTTTCTGTATGTAGAAATTAATCCAGCATATGCTTTTTAATTTTTTTTTTAATTAAAAAAGTAAATATTTGTTTTAACAAAATAGAGAAGTCCTACAAAGTAATTTTGGGGGTAAGGGTGTTACATTCTGGCCTGAAATACTTAGGACAGCATAAATTTTCCCATAGAACATCTGGGAGAAAGCCATTAGTGAACAAAGCGAAATGATAACACAGTCATAAAAGCTTTCTGCGAAGTCCAAGCTGTTTAAATTTGCTCAGAATATAGGCATTCTGGTCATCTCAGACTTTCCCCATCCTCTTTTTTCTGGCCTGGACCCTTCAAGCCCCAGACTCCGATGTTAACCCCTTTCTCTCCTGCCAAGTGTACTCTTTCTCATCCTCCCCAGGCTCTGTGCTTCAGCAGCAAGGTCGGGGAGGTACCACTGGAGGTGGCAGCCCTGAACGCAAGGTGTTTTCCAAAACAGAGATTTTTGAAGACAGTGAATGATCCAATTTCTTCACGGGCATCCAGGAAAACGTGCTTTCATATTAGGCAATACAAAACACAGGAAAGGAAAGGCCGACCCCTCCTGCCCTAGCCCCTGTGGAGAGCGAGGCTGGGGCTGAACATCTGGCAAATTCTGGATCCCCCCCCACCCCCAAGCTGTACCCAAACTTTCTTACCTTTAGAAGAACTTCTAGCATGCCATCTCTAGATGGAGCCTCCTGTCACCCAGTTCCATTTGGAAAGTGGGAGATGAAATGATTTACTAGTAAATCTCTCAAGTGTTTTTCAGACCATGTTTTCAGCCCCTCTGAGTGTTGATGTTACGATGGGGGAGAAAATAACTCCTGGGTTTATAGTGCCTTTCAGGTGTCAGGCACTTCTACACAGATTAGATGGGTAATTAACATATTGGTCAGTAAAGTAAGTTATTAAACCCCCAAAGCCTTATCTCAGTTATTCTGGGAAGTGAGATGTTTATTTTCAGTTGTGTGTGCGCCCATGTGAAACCTATAAATTCATATTATGAAAAAATTGAGATTTTAACACTCATTAACATTCACATCCTTACCTGGTTTAAGAAATAAAAAACAAAACGACATGTAGGTCCTCAATACTAGTCCACTTATTTGGAAGCAAATTGCTAATTAATGATTTTCACATAAGGCCTTGGGATATATTTCCTTTGCAGTGTTTAACTATCAACAAATGTAGGTCCCTTTTCTGTGCTATTTATTTAGAAACAACAAAAAATGGCCAGTGTATTATAGGTCTTTAGTAGTCTGTAAAAAAGATTGAAGCTGCTAGTGCTGCCTGAATTGTGCAAAAAAAAAAAATAAAAAAAATCATGCATCACAGAAAAGATAAATATACTCAACTGATGTTTCAAACTTTTTTGTGCGAACTTGCAATAGTTCTTGAAGTAGTTAAATATTTAGCTTAAGATTTGCAAACTTTCTAAGCTGAACAGTTAAGTAAACGCTTTATACTTTCATTGATTAATTGCTCCTTTCTTGAGGCAAGGTTGCATTCGCTTTGCTTTGGTTTTGAACTAGGGGATTGACTTACTGAGTTATAACTATTCCAAGGGGCTTTCTGTCAATGGG